CACATAAAAATAAATAAACAAAGGTATTGTGTTCATCTACAAATATATAATATTAATAAAAGATCCTGGGCTGGGGATGTGGCTCAAGCGGTAGCGCGCTCGCCTGGCATACGTGAGGCCCAGGTTCGATCCTCAGCACCGCATACAAACAAAGATGTTGTGTCTGCCAAAAACTAAAAAATAAATATTAAAAAAATCCTCTCCCTCCCCCCTCTCTCTCAAAAAGAAAAAAAAAATCCTGATTTTAGTTCTTTTGGGTAAATATTCATAAGTGGGATTTTTGGAGTTGTAGATGGACAGAATGCCTTTATTTTATTTGCTTAATCATGTGGTAGTTTTAAGTTCTTGAGTATTTTAAAAAMAATGATTCTAACAGGTGTAAGGTGATATTAGATTRTGGTTCCCTTTGTATACTTTAAACATGTACCAAGAAAGTATAACCATTATATGTCAATAAAACTGTAAAGACTCACCCCATCCTCTAAAAAAACCYACATAACCTTGAGCTGGAGACCTAGCTCCATGGTAGATACTTGCCTAGCACATGCAATGTCCTGAATTTGATCCCCAGCACCAGAGAACAAAATATAAAAACATACTACAGAAATAACCAGTTATGGTACTGATTACTGGGATGATTCTAAAAAGAACATGAGAGAAATAAAATATCTCTTGAAAATGTTCCTCTGCCTTCAGTATATGAAAGTGAATTAATTAATAACCCTTTAAAAAYAAGCAATCAAGTATGTATTAGGAGCCAGGCATGGTGGCACATACCTGTAATCCCAGCCACTCAGAAGGCTGAGGCAGGAGGATTGCAAGTCCAAAGCCAGCCTCAACAACTTAGAGAGGCCCTAAGCAACTGAGTGAGACCCTGTTGCTAAATAAAATACAAAAAAAGGGCTGGGGATTTGTCTCAGTGGTTAAGCACCCTGAGTTCAATCCTTGGTACAAAAAAAAAAAAAATGTATTCAGGACCATAATATCTTTAGAAAGGGAAAAATAATAATAATAAATAAATAAAAATAATTAATAGCACGGTGTGGAACATTAGGTTGTATTTCTTTGGTTTTTCTTTGATTTGTTTCTAGCATATATATCGTATTGCCMGCACTGATAGCACTAAATCTTTGATTTTTGAAAGATGTATGGTGTTAACACAATGCTGTTGTGTATGTTTCTTGTGAAACATAAATTGTTAATGTTAAGATTTATATAATTAAATTTGAATAATTACGTTCTCTCTTGATATTTTTAAAAATATATATTGTCAAATCCAACTACCTCTTCTTGGAAACCAAAATTCATTTGTTTTAGGGAAGACTGGTTCAGGAGAAATAAGATTATAACGGAACGATATTCCCTAACTTCTAGTGACTCTTGTCAGAAYTCAGAACACTTAAATTGACACACGTTATTATTTTTAAAATGCCAAACATTTGAAATTCTGTCAAACTGTTAGTTTTGGGTAACAGAATCAACACCAGTTTGAATTTAAACAGTAAGATATAAAATTTCAATGAAGTATATTCAGAAACGTTGAGTTGTCCAAGGTGACACAGGACATCTATTTGGCCTATTTTGGCTCAGTAACATCTCTCTCCTGCTGAATTATTGTGATTTTGTGTGTGTGT